GCCCATGGGAAGATCGTCACAGGCTGCCTGCAGTGCTGGGCATATGTTTGTGAGAGAAAACAGCATGATCTTAAAAAAAGCCCCACTCTCTCCAGGTCTGCTCCACAAGGGGACATGCATGTTTTCAGATTCCCAGGGAGGAGCAGGAGATTGCACAAAAAGAGCACTCCCATGAATAAGCAATAAGGGCTCTCTCTCATTCTCCTGCCTGTCCCATCAGATTGCTGCCTTGGCTTCCTGCAATATGAGCACTGGTGTCTTTGTGATGGTTGGAGAAGTGGATGCTGGTTCAGAGATTTCCATCGATCCCACACTTCTGCTGACTGGGCGTACATGGAAAGGGACTTTGGTTGGAGGTATTGTATTTCAGAAGGCACTCTAAACACTTCAGGTTTTTCTTTCTTGGCAGTTGACAATCCATAGGAAAAGAGGGTTTTCAAGTAAAAGACAACTAAAGAGGAGCACGCCACTGCCAGTATTGAACATTAGCACTAGACAAGCAAATAATCCTCACCTGTGTTACGCCGTAACTCACTCATCCCAAAGAGCAGAAAACATCTCACAAGGGTGTGGCACCAGCCCTGGTCACTAGTCCTGACCCTGACAGTAACATTACCGTACCAAAAGAGACTTTCTCCCATTATTCAGGCAGCTGCTCTCTCCTGTTTCTAGGCTGGAAGACGAGAGAATGTATCCCCAAATTAGTTTCCGGCTACTTGGAGAAGAAATTCAATTCGGACTTGCTGATCACACACACGCTGCCATTCGCTAAAGTGAACGAGGGATTTGAGTTGCTACGTGCAGGAAAATGGTGAGACTCTGACCAGCAGGAGGATCAGCAAACCTCAGCACCACCCCCTAAAGTTCCAACAGAAAGAGCATGCAACACTGGCTCCCCAAAGAGCACCTGAGCCTTTTGAGGAAGCAGGGCCTCCCAGCTGAGTGCTGGCAAGATCTGCCACAGCCCCAAGGGAAGAGCCCATGTTCAGCACAGGGAACCCTCCTGCTCATGCTTCAGCTCAGCACAGATCCTGTGGCCTTATCCCGTGAGGGGCTCCCCTCAGCAGGGATTTGAAGGCTGCCCCATTGCTGCACGCCTCATGCAGC